GTGTTATGCACAAACAATGAATCATGGAACACTACATCAAAAACTAATGATGTAATGTATGGTGATTAACATAACAATAAAAAATTATTTTAAAAAAAAAATGCCAAGGAGGCTCCTGGCTCTGAAATTTGTGTTTCTTTCGCGGCCAAGTACACCTTCGACAAGGGATTCTGTGTGAGGATGACACCCAGATGTAAGCCCGTGGACGTGGCCACTGGCCTCACTTACCTCTGGAAGGGAGGACTGGGCACTGCGCGTCTGCTTGATGGCCTCCTCGTAGCGGGGAGGGTCTTTCGTCTTGGGGACTGGGCTCCCAAACAGGGAGTGCTGGACGACACACTGCTGGGGTGGCGGGGGCGAGCCGGGCTGAGGCAAACCGAGGGAGACACACGTCAGCTCCGGGCAGCGAGCTTCCTCAAGCCCTGGCCAGGCAGGGCTCTGCCCTCAGCATGGGGCAGCCCCATCATGGCATTCCTCAACTCGCGAGCCTCAGGACCTAGGACCCGTGCGGCTGACGGGGGGGCCACCTCATGTGGAAGGGCCACCTTTACTGTGGTAAGAGCGAAGCTGCCCCCTAACAACTGTCACCACGGTATTTTGGCTGTTTTGTCCCATGCATACTGATACTCAGTCCCTCCAAGGCGGAAGCGCTGGGTTTTGGAATGCTCTTGTACCCCAGGAAGCACCCCTGTTGCTGGTGCTCCATGCTCACAGCATTACCTTACTGGAAGTGGTAGGTCCATTCTGCAGGGAGGCACGTGGGGCACTTCTGGACTGCAGAACGCTGGTGGGCGTCTTACTGACAAAGGGCTGCTGGACTGCTGGAGCGGGTGCTCTTGGGTAGGGGAGAACGGTGTTCGATGCCGAGGTTGTGAAGACCTGTAATGAACCAGTGTTTTCCATTCAGTGTGTTCTTTTGCTCTTCCTACCAAAGAAAACCATGTCTTCGGACAAGGGGCAGCAAACGTTTGCTGGAAAGAGCCCTCAAGTACTCAGTTTAGGGCTTGCAGGCCCCGGCTCTCCAAGGTAGCTGCTCCACTCTGCTGCTGCAGCCCAAAGGCAGTCTCCACAACCCAGAAATAAATGGGTGGCACTGGGTTCCAGTCAAACTTTACCCACAGAGACAGGCCCTGAGGCCACGGTTTGCTGACCCTGATTTTCCGGCGTCAATCATTCCTTACTCAGTGGCCAGTCTTCGATGGCAGCGGGGACCGCACCTTCTGGGAAATCAGCATTTGCTCAGAGTAATTTTTCTCTTAGGCGATAGCTGAATTTCTCCTGTTCCTCACCAGGGTGATCTGATCTACTCTCATGGCTTTCATGTTCACGATTAAGCTGATAACCCCCCAACCCACCCCTCTTTTCCAGCCTTGCTCCCAAGTGCCACAGCCACATTTATAACCGTTATAAACATAAATTTGGGACATCTCAAATTTAATATATTCCAAACTAAACTTTCCCCTTTCCCCCACCACCTCCAGCCTCTGAGGAAAAATAATTCTTGGTTCTACCTTCATTTATTTTTAAAACTTTGGTAAATGGAGCCGTCAGTCTCCTCTGCTTTCTCCCCTCAGCGCTCACACAGCTTTGGAATGCCTCCTGAATCAGGCCTCTGTTCTCTGCTGTCCTAATCCAGGCCCTTGCTATTGATCACTGGAAAACTGGCACAGCCTCCCTGCTGAGCCTCCCTCCCCCATCAGCCCTCCACAACAGTTCCGGTCTTGACACCCACACCTGATGGAGCCCCCACACTCCTGGCTCCTCTGTCCTTCATGGTAAAACCCTCCTGTCTGGCTGGCACACGAACCTTCTACCACCTGGCTCCTTTTCTAGCCGACCTCAACGGCCACACGTGCTGTGGCCACACTCAATTTTGCAGTTTCTTGAACATTTCTGCAGATCCTTACGAGGCCCCATTTAAAATCTGCCCCCCTTCTGAGAAGCTAACTTCTGCTCTGTCGGTGAGCGGTGAGGATTCTCTCCTGTGGAATGGCCGAGTGTGTGTTTGGCCCCCATTAGGAGCCAAAGGTTTTATGGACTTTTGCAACTGTATTTTACAGAGCTGATTTACTCATAAAAAGATCTAATATACTTTATACCACATATTCTGAAAGAGAAAAACTTACCCCTATATTTCTGTTGTAAGTATACATATGTATTTCTCAAGTGGGAAAGTGTATTTATGTGTGTGTCATATATCCCTCCAAACGGTACCACTGCTCTGGGTGAGAATTTCTAGAAGTAAGTGTACTCCCCTTTGAAAAAGTTGAATTTTCTTCTTTTTGGTACAATTATTTCTTCCTTCAAAATGGAATTAATGACCCCTGATTCTAGTTTTTTCAGACTAAGTGAATAAGCCCTTATTTATCTTGTCTATATCCTGTTTTGCTCTCTCCTCCCTAAAACAAACTGTCTTTACAATATGAACATTCACTAAGCTTATCACTATACTAAAATGTTATTCTGAGCCCAAAGTAATATGCAGCTATAAGTCCTTGCTCACTGCGTTTCCCAGAGCAGATTCCAGAAGAGAGCACAAGTTGATGTGACTACCAATGACCCCAGGCATTGTTTTTGTCTCTTGCTCAAGTGGTCTTAGCCTAGACAGTACACACCACGTTGGGCCATGTCTAGAGGTACACCTCATTATCCAAGTTTTTTTATGCTGAAGATTAAAATTCTGGGACTAATAATTCTCAAGGTTTAAAATAGTAAGACCTGGGGCAACTGGGTAGTTCAGTTGATTAAGTGTCCAACTCCAGATTTCGGCTTAGGTCATGATCTCAGGGTTGTGAGACTGTGTCGGGCTCCGCACTGGACATGGAACCTGCTTAAGATTCTCTCTCTCCCTCTTCCTCTGCCCCTGCCCCCTTATAAAATAAAAGAGTAAGACCTATTTTTGAGGCCTTTAAAAGTTTTCTCGCAAGGAGATGTGCACATAGCTCCACCTACTGGATAAGAGGGAATTTTGGTAACTTTGGGGCTTTCACATCAGAACTTTTTGGTAGGAACACATGCACAAGTTACTGAGCCCTAGACCAACACCGTCATTCTAAAGACGAGGAAAATAACACTCAGAGAAAGTAAGTGAATTTTGCATAAGGCCAACCACGTAGGAAGTGGGGAACCAGAATAACCAGGCCTGGGTCTTCTGGCTCTAAATCTGCAAGATGGCAAACTCTTACATATACAAAGATCTTACTCAAGGCAAACCTTTCAGAAAGTATCTTTTTCATCTTCAAATATCTCTTCCCAGGGAACAGCACTGCCCCCCCCAATAATTAATTTGAAATTTAAGTCCCAGAAAATCCTACATATGAGGATTAAAAACATACTTTTGAAACTTTACTTGGAAAAGGGGTTTAACTGTTAAGATGAGCTAGCTTTCAGTAATACAGAACTCTCTTCCCCAAATAACTGGGTAATCCACAGCCAGAGGCCACGTGACCTGAGGCCCACCCGATGGGAGGCACATCACACAGAAGAACAAACAGGTGCTTCCCACGAGGAGACTGCTTTGCGGATACTGCGGGATTGCTGAGCAGACAACAGCACACGTCGGCGACAGCCTGCCACCTGTTAGCCTTCACGCACCTTTCTCACTTGCTGAGACTGACTGAGCACATGTGGTGTGAAAGTGTCTTGCTTCTGAGGTACAGTCTGGGCTAAGCCTGAGGACAGGGTGGCAGTTGCTGTCTGAGGCTGAGTCTGGATTCCTGCTTGTGCTGGAGTCTAGGAAGCAAATAAAAAATCAATTTAATTGTCAAAATCAATCTCAGAATCAAGAGTTTAGATGTGGGGGCACCTGGCTGGCTCAGTCGGAAGGGCGTGCGACTCGATCTTAGGGTCATGAGTTTGAGCCCCACGTTGCGCGTAGAGATTACTAAATATATGTATATAAATTAAAAAAAGAGCTGAGATGTGGAATAACAGGTCATGTGGGGATCATATCTGAAATGAAATTATTTACAGATACACACTTCATTTCATCAACACATAGATTTGAGCCTTAATTCTAAACCAGAGAGTGAAACACCAGACCAGTTGTTTTCATGCTCTGATTGTTTCTTAAGTGGCTAAGATTTTCATTTGAAAATTTTGAGAAAAGGGAACACTGAAATAAAAACCTACAGGAGCTCTACACATACTAGGTCAGGTGTTGTAATGATTGTAATAATTGGAAATCTCTGAGGCCCGACTGCCCAAACTCCTGCTTCTAAGCTGCAGGATGTGCTCCCTCTGGGGGCAGTCAGCCACGCGCTGGGATACACAGAGGTCCAGAATAAAACACAGTTCTTGTTCTGAGAACATCAACTCTCCTGGAAGAATTGGTTGGGGAAAAAAATGTTCAGAAGAGCCATATTACAGAGTGGGTAGACCTTCAATTTCATGGACACTGTAAAGGTTAAACAGGGGAATTAGAATTTTTGCACATGCCAAGGGCCTCAGGTCATGCTTCCTAACCCCAGGGGTATGGGACCACTCCTTTCTGCCATTAAGAGTGTCTGGGGCATCAAAGTTGAGGAGCACTGCCCCAAATGGGTTCTGTTCACTTGTGGCCCACACATTTTGTTGAAAACTATCAAAATGCCTTACATAAAAACAGCCTAAGGTCAATACACAGGTTACGTAGGCATAAAAGGAGGTTTCTTGCCTACCAGTGTTTTATCACCTCTCTCAACAACATCCTCACTCCTAGGTTTGTGGTCCCATTTCCCTTAGATGCCCAACATGCCTTTGGCATCTTCGCTTCACTGGTGTCTTTCAAGAATTACATTTAGGAGGCAGAATATAGGAGTGGGCGTCAAAGTGAAAGCTCTGTAGTCAGAATTACCCAGCAACTTACCAAACCTCAGTTTCCCTATCTCAAAATGGATGTTATCACTTAGACCTTCCAGAGGAAGCGGGGACTAAAGGGAGTAAGCCCTTCAAAGTACACGGGGCGCCCAGCTGGCTCAGTTGGAGGGGCGTGTGACTCCTGATCTCGGGGTCGTGAGTTCGAGTCCCACACTCGGTGCAGGGATTACTTAAATAAGTAAAAAAATACAGTACTTGATGCTGTGCCTTGCGCACAGAAAGTGCCCCGTGACACTAGCTATTCTGATGATGCTGTAACTAGTATTTAAAAACGCCTGCATGTGCGATAGGGTGCTCACTAAAGATAAAAGGTAAGGAAAGTAGAAAAGCACCGCTTGTGTGTTTCTGCCATAGGGAAACAGTGCTAGCTATTAACATTTTGCAATTGGAATCTACGCCCCCGCCCCCCATGTCCCGGCACCCCGAAGCCTGGCGCACCCCGAAGCCCGGCACGGAGGCATCTGTGAGAAAGCTGAGGCAAGCTTGCACTCTCGGCAGGCTGTAAGGCAAAGGAGTTAGAAGACACACTTCACACCTGGAGTTTGAGGCTGCCTACGGGGAGCTGCACTGAGGTGACACTGGAGCCTGGGATGGACAGCGGCAGCAGCAGCTGGGCCGTCTGCGTGGTCAGTAAAGCCTGAGGCCGAGCGACAAGGGCAGGCGGTGGCTGTCCCTGCGAACTCACGTAAAACTGCGGCACCACGCTCTGCGGCTCCGCCTGCGCCCCGGGGACCTCCTGCTTGATCACCACCGCCTTTTTGGCCGCCAGGGCCTGGCCCCCCGTTGCCAGGGGCTGGCCGGAGGGCGGGCCTGGCTGCCTGGGGGCGGAGCAGTCGCTGGGCGAGGTCTCGTCCTTGACAGAGCCGCCGCCGTGCTTCTGGTCTAACTTGGCTGCCGGGCTGGCCGAAGCGCTGACCTGCGCTTCCAGCAGCGGAGGCTGCCGCTGCCCTCGCTTCTCCACCTCGAGCTGCATTTTCAGAACTTCCACGAGCTTCTGCTCTTGTTCCAGTTTCCTCTTGAGCTCCTCGATCTGCTTCTCCTTCTCCTGCAGCTTGCGGTCCTTCTCAGCCGCGTCCAGTTCCAGACTCGACAGCGTGCTGCTGGTGGGGCTCGGGCTGTCGTCAGGGCCCGTGACTCGCAGAGGGGACGAGCACAGGAACTGCGCCGGCGACATCATGGTCATAATCTCGGTGAGAGTGTCCTCGGTCCCGAGACTGGACTGTTCGGAGGGGGATGGCGAGATGGGCAGAGGGGAGCTGACGGTCTCGGCGTGGGAGACGGTGCCGGGGCCCGCCAGCGGCGCTTCTGCCTTGAAGGAGGAGCCCGAGCTCGTCACGGGGTTGTGCAGTGTTGTGATGGGAAGGGCCACGGTGACGTCGGGGCTGCTGGTGACTATGGCAGACGCGGGCACCGCCAGGACGCCCCCCGCTGCGATGCCACTGCTGTTCATTTCCTGGTAGGGTTTCAGGCGCTCGATGAGGTCTGGTTTGGTGCCTGACACCGGAAGACCCCTTAGCTTCAGTTCTGTCTTCAGTTCTGACACCTGCAAGTACAAACAAGTCACACCTCTTCCTCCAGCACTGCGACTTCCGACAAATCTCCGGGACACTTGGACGGGAAAAGGGCCTAGGTCTGTCAGCTCCCCATGACCACACACTGGCAAGCGGGAGGGTTTCTCTTCCTAACCCACAGACACACACAGCTACAGACCCCAAGCACTGCAAAGACCACTGATACAGCAACGATTTATGTCCAAGCACTGAAAACCAGAAATCGTGATGAAAACCGTCACACTCACTGAGTAATGACCATGTGCCAGACACAGCTGGGTGTGCTTTATTCTTTCAACTCATCTGCACAGGAGGTGTTGGTATTATTATTACAATTCCTAGTTCACAGAGAGGTTGACTCACTGTGGTCCGAGCTACCATGGATAACTGAAGACCGAGCTGCGGTGGAAACCCATGCAGGCTGGCCTGGGAGATCAGATTCTTGACCGTTACATTTTTCCTGCTTCTCCCAAACTTGGCAGTGAGCAGGGAAGAAAAAAACAAACCTGCCTCTGCCCTCAGAACTGGTTTGGTGTCTGCACATGGTATATGCTCAATGAATGAGAATCACTACTGGTCATTTTAAAAGAAACTTAATGGACATAAACAGAAAGTGCCTCTACAGAGGTTATCTTATGTTGGTAAAGTCTATTGAAGAAAACTTATCTACACACATTAGACAGATCTGGCAAATCATTTACCTTTCTGTGGTACCTGTGAGTGAAAAAACTCTACTTGCAATTCTCACCTTTAAGTCATCCAAGCTAGAAGGCAGAGGTCCCGGCTTTCTCACAGGAGCAGATGTATTCTGTCTTGGAGTGTTAGGTGTGGTACTGTTCAGAGCTGAATTCCCACTGTTGTTATTTTTGTCATTGAGTGGCCTTCAAAAGAACAAGAAAATGAGAGAGTTTATGATAAAATAACTTCTGAATTTGACATTGTTTCTGCTAACATTATTTCTGTTAACTCGTGAAGAGAAAAATGCCATGGTCATGGGTTGGAAGACTCAGCATTTTGAAGATACCAATCAAATTAGATCGCAGTGAAAATCCCTGCAAGTTTTGTTTGCTTGCTTGCTCGGTAGAAATTTAGAAGGTGATTCTCAGCTTTATATGGAAATACAAAGGACCAAGAAAGGCCATGGCATCCAAAGAAAAGCAAAGCTGGAAGAGTCATACTACCAGATATCAAAATTCATTACAAAGCCAGTTATTAAGATGGTGTGGTGCTGGGGGCAGAACAACAAATGGCAGAGAATGGAGAATCTAGAAACAGACCCTCACATATACAGCCTCTTGAGTTATCACAAAGATAGCACTGTAGTGCAGTAGGAAAAGGGTAGTCCTCACGATAAATGGCGCTGGGCCGCACTGGGTATTCATACAGAACAAAATAGGACCCTTGACTGACCCCTATCTCACACCATCTCAAAAACCTAAATGTGAATTATGAAAACAATAAAGCTTTTAGAAAGCTTAGGATAATATCTTCATGTCCTTTGGGTAGGCAAAGATGTCTTAAGCAGGACACAAAATGCACCAAGAGGGACACCTTTTAAGAGTGAAAAGTCAGGCCACAGGAGAAGCTATTTGTAATGTGTATTTCTGACAAGGCCTCATATCTAGAATATACAAAAAAGTCTTAAAATCAGTAAGAAAGACAAAACCCAATGGGAAAATGGGAAGATCTTGAACAAGCATATCACAAGAAAGTATATCCGGATGGTCAATACATGTGTGAACAAGGGCTTAGCCTCAATATATATGAGGAAAATGAAGAAAGAGCACAACAAAATAGCACTGCCGACCCAGCAGAGTACTGTATAATGACTAAGACTGTGGATACCAAGTACCCGGAATGTCCCGAGCTCTCAATCATGGCTGGTGGAAGTGTGAATTGGCACGACCACTTTGGAGAACTGTTGGATGCTATCTACTAAAGAAAAACCTACGCCTATCTTTTGACCCAGTGGCACTCCTAGAAGGACACGTGACAAAGACAGACATACATGAACCAAGAGACACCAGGGGAGAATGTTTATTATGGCAGTATTCATACTAGCCCCAACTGGAAACAACCTAACTGTCCGAGAGGATGATGGGTGGGGTCAATGAGAGAACACTAGACAGAATAAAAATTAACCGCTGCTTTCTGCACCAGTGAAGATGCATCTCACAAACACAACGTTGAGCAAAAGCAGCCAAACACGTATATGTACTCTAAGGCTGCATTTATGTAATGTTCAGAAACAGGCAAGACTAATCTATGGGATTCAAGTCAGGTAGCCACTGAGAGGGGACGCAAGGGGGCCTCTTGGGCATACTGATGATGTTCTATTTCTTGATTTAGGTGTTTACTTGGCATCCATTTTCAGTTATGATTTATGGGCTTCTCTATAACCTATACTTCATTTAAAAACATTATTAAAGAAATGTTGGTGAAGCTGTTGTACTTCTGTACTCATTTTCCTAAACTCCTTTCCATATCAAAACCAGGTCCCCATCTAGCTTCTTCCCCCTATGCTACTCTGGGCAACAATGGCATTTCTCTTCTGGGTGGTTGATAACTATTTGAGAAAGGTCCACATGATTGTTGATACTGTAGAGCCCATTTCATTACAGCTCCAGGCTTTATTGTTATATAAGCCTTGGTGCTGAAGCAAAGAGACTCTGGATTCCATATTCTGAAAGAGGGAGAGGTCCCCAGTTAGATGAGCTTTGTCAAGTGAGTTTTAGGAAGACTGTGTTTGAAGCCATTTCTGGCCCTGTCAACAGCTAACTCTTGACATCTCTTTGGGGTCTTTTAAAATCTGCCTAAATTTTGTGGCAGTTAAATATTTTAAGTATTTGAGATGAGGTTTCTTGAAGTTTGGATGGAATGACAAATGTTTTATGTATCATTTTTTTTCCTTTCTAAAAATTCAGTTTTAAAATCTTCTATTAGAATTATGAAAACATTTAATGTAAATCAGAATTTCTCAACCTTATTTTCATTACTTTCCCTGCAAGGAGCTTTTTTAGGTTTCGTTTTTCCTAATCAACCTCCCAGTGAAATTTTAATACCACAGATGTACTGCATAATTACCTATGTACTGTGTGTCTGTGCTTTCTTAAATAAAAAGTGCATGATTCTTCCCGACCAACTCTTGCTCTCTTGTGAACAGTATTATCTCCCTGAGAAGGCACGATGTAAATTAATTATTCTATCGGTACTGTCTTTTTGGTTGAGGTTCTATAATACCCTACTTGCTACTATGATTAACAGTTCAGTGTTTACTTCAACCTTTGAAATAACAAGAAGAAGTTGATCAGGTTTCTCTCCAAATCGACAGAGAAAGGAAAGGTGGTGTGGGGGGGACCCTGCTGAATGAGATGACAGTGCAGACGAGAAACCCCAAATTCAAGACGCATGAAGGGACCGGAATTCCAGGACCCTCCACCAGGGTGCAGCTACGCTGGGACCACAGCCCTGTCTCCCAAGGCTGCGGCTTTTCCCGAAGTACCAGAAGGCTGTGTCATCAAGTAGAATCACGCTGGATGGCTGCTGTAAGACTTCCACATTGTTCCCTGTGCTGGAATTGTGGTGAAAAGAAACACTGTAACAGAAAACAACCGTTTCCACTTTCAGGACGAGGAAATTACACAGAAGTGATGTTCGGTCTTTGTGTGAACGACTACAGAGCAGTAAGTGATCTTTCCTCCTCGTTCTTTTTGTGGGACACTCTCCTTGGGTGGCGGGCTTGCTGCTGCAGTGGTGGGAATGTTTGGGGGGGGGGGCTGCAGCCTTCGTGGAAAGACGAAGAACTGTGAGAGACCAGATCCTCAACAGCCGCCGATGTACTCTTCCCATCTACAGACCGGCCCCACACAATTTCTTTCATTACAGAAAAGACTATTTCACAGATAGCACAGCAAAACAATCCCTTTATGGGATTTTCAGTTTAACAGGTTTCCTTGCCTGGGAGTAGGGTCAGTCATTTCAGCTCTTCCTGGAGTTACTGTGAGGAGGAGGGTGCGTCGTGTGCTGAGCACGCTGCTCAGTGCATCGTAAGGCGCATGGAGATGGGGGCCAGGGTTCGAGCTCGCTTCCCTGGTGCCCGGTGCCAGAGGAGGGCGGCGGCAGGGGAGGACGCCTCCCTCGGGCCTGGACAAAGCTGTAAAGCAGCGGCCGTTTGCCTCTGATACTCTTCCAATTCTCTTTGGTCTTCCCTGGTTCCCTTCCAATGTCAACATCTCACTCAGGCCCGCCTGCTCTTAAAATACTAACAGGCTACACAAATTCTTTCTTTCTTCATCTCTGCACCCTGATGTTTTAGACTGAAGTACTTTACAGTAAGGTCTGAATGACTAATAGGTCTAATCTTCTTCGAGATACCAGGATCTTAAAAGAAAAAAGTGAACTGATAATCGTTAGCATATGAGGAGATGGTTCTTAACAGAGGAGCTTTTTAGTGGGTCTTACTCCTTTTCTACGCCTAGAAAACAGGACTCCCTATGGAGGAATGCTTAGCATACGTGTAGACAACAGGAGTCAAGTTCCTACAGATCATAAACTGAGTGGCTTGATCTCCGAAAAAATTTTTTCTTCTAATGAAATTTTGCATCTTTTTTTTTAAGTTTCTTTCTGTGAGTTGAATGTAAATATCCCTTTCTCCTGAAAGCTGAGGGAAATGAAAGATAAGGTTTTTTGCATTTTTATCTATGTTTCCCACAAAATGCATACTGAGGATGGCTATCTAGAAATTTCTTTTAGCACATAATTAAAATTTGCAATGGATGTCTTGCTACGGATTCAGTCTCGGAAGCTGGTGGAACTCACTTCCTTCTGTCCCTCCCAACTGGGCTCAGACTCTGGAAACGTGTTCCTTCTCCACAGTTGTTGGTCACCAAGACCTTCAGTTGTCTTTGAAACATCTCTCATCTGTTCCTTCCTTCCCGTTATCAACGCCCTTCCATCTTCTCACATCTACTTTGTTGTGAAATTCCTGTTTTTCCTATTTCCAGACTCCCCTTCATGACCAGCATCAAACTCTTCTTTCTCGTGCTTTGATTCCACCATGACAGGCTTCTGAATCACCCGCCACACCAAGATTCAAGGCTGCCCAGCTGCAAGTTCCTCCAGACAGTGGCTCAACTCAGTTTTGTCTTCTACTTTTTTATTCCGGCTATTTTTCTCATCATCCAGTAACTAGGCACCACCCACTCCTTCCTCTGTTCTTGCACCAAGATCATCCCCCTTGGCCTGCAAGGGCCCTTCCCTAGTTTCAGGCTCTTTCCCATATAAATATCCCACCTTTTTCATAAAGCTTTCCTCGACCACTCCAGCTTCTACACTCATCTGTCTTTTTTTTTTAACTGTTCATAACAGGTCTTACACTTTGTATGCCTTTACCATAGCATCTAATGCTACTTGGGTGAATAACGGGCCAATCTTTCCTGGGTGAGTTATTGTGAAAAGTCACCTCTAACTTGAAAGGTTCGGAACGGATTTCAGAGGACAGAAACTGGGCTGGCATGCAGGCTGCTCTCACGGGGACCAGGGCGAGCCACTGGCCGCTAAGCTCTGGTGACACGAGGCACCAGTCAATCCCAACGGCCAACCTTTGGAAACGAGCGGTCCCCGTGAAAGGACTGGGGTACAAGGCACTGTCGGCAGCGCGCGCGGCCCCTGCCCCGTACTTGAGTGGCGCCGGCAGGATGGTCTGGTAGTTGTAGTGCTGCTGCTGCTGGCTCAGGATCTGCAGCTGCAGGAAGAGCTGCTGCTGCTGCAGCAGCCGGGCGTAGTTGGAGTCCATCTGCGGCTCGTTCTTCTCCCCTTTCTGGTCGGGGGGGATGTACTGGTGGTACTTCAGCTTCTTTACCCGGGGCTTGGGGTCTTTGCACTTCTTGCTGCGGTGTTTGTCGTTGGGATTCTTGGGATGGCTTTGCTGTTTTCGAGAAAAAGAGAAGAACGTTTTTAGACATGCTGTCACAGGCGGCCTGTTCCACTGTGTGAGCAAAGGACCGGAGAGAGAAAGACCGGAGGTGCGCCTCAGCAGCCGGGGTGGCCGCCTGGGAAAGCGAGAGACTGAATATGTACCCAGAGTGAGGAAAACATGTGTACACTTCCCCTGACCAGGAAACCTGGCCCGTAAGAACTGACCTTCTCCTGCTGCCTTGTTCCTTTAGAGTAAGGGAAGGATATGCAGCTCAGCATTACCTATTCACGTTCAACAGTTACTCTGGGTGTCTCGTGCAGACACACGTTGAAGGGCTTACATACAGTACCTCCCAGTGAAAAGAGGCTGCGTGCTCAAGATACAAATGGGAGAAGATGAGGGACACTTCACTATAACTGTGTACTATTTTATAGTCATTAAAAACATATTCTTTAGAGGATATGTATAAACAGAAAAATGCTTCTTATGGAATAGAGCAGACTATAAAGTTATGTATTTCTTTTTAAAAAAAAAAAATTTTTTTTAAGGGGGAAGGGGAGGGGCAGAGGGAGAGAGAGAGAGACAATCTTAAGCAGGCTCCATGCAGGGCTCAATCTCATGACCCTGGGATCATGACCTGAGCCAAAGTCAAGAGTCGGACACTTAACCGACTGGGCTACCCTGAGGCACCCCTCAAGTTATGTATTTCTAAGGAAAATACACATAAAATACTGCAGTCTCACAGTATTAATCAATTCACCATCATCTGCTTATTGTGCTATCAATAACAGATTTTATTCCTGGTCTTTTCAAAGTGATTACAACAATGGATGGGGTCTCAGTTCCAGAGGTTGCACTCTGTTATGTAATGATAAAACCACGGACTTGGCCGACCAGGAAGGTGCCTACGGGAAAAGGGAGGGGGACAGGCACATACTAACCAGGATTACCTATTCATTGGCACATTCTCTCATGAAGTGAGCGTAGTGAACAGCTTTCCTCACAGAAAAACCCCACGAACTGCGGTCTGTTTCCTAGTGTGCATCTGTCTTTTCCTCTCCTAGCACTGTCCTAGGATCCCCGACCCAGCCTCTGAATCTCACATTCTTCAACAATGCCCTAGAATCAAAGCCCTCCTTAAAGAGACACTAGTGAAGAGGAGAAATCCAGAGAACAGGAGAGGCTGAGAACTCAGCATTGGCATCCAAACTGTCTCTGTGCCATTTGTGGCACATGCTTGGGGATGTGGGCTGAGCAGGAGAGCTGATGTTATTAGCTCAGCTGCCACGTGCCACACTCTGGAATTTCTGGCTCCAATACTAAGTGATGGAAGATGGTGAGATACACTGATTTGTGCCCCGAGGCCACAGACACTGGGCTGCACGGACAGAGAGAGGCTGGAGTAGAAAGAGAGTCTTCTCTGCAGGAGGGGCGAGGACCACGACAGCACCAGAGGGGGCACGGAAGGGAGGAATCTGGGGAGGCAGAAAGAAGGCCTGCCTGCCCTTGGGGAGCCTGGATCCTTCCCGGCCTCGTTACTTCTTCCGGCCTCACTTCTGGAAGGTGCTGGGAGGGTTGGCTAGCTCTCCAGAGTCCTTTTTCAGTTCTAAAAGTTTGACATCAGTGTTCTGCTACATTTGGCAAAGCCGTATCTGAGACGATGACATTATTCCTCTATCACCCCTCTCCCCCGCTTTACTTAGCAGTTCTAAATACACTTAAAAAAAAAAAAAACTTTAAAAGTATACTATATGTTACGGATTTTGATCTTCCTTGGGGCTTGTTCTAACTGGATTATTTGCACCCAGTAAAATGTAGGGAACGGTGCCACCAATCTGCAGCTTATCTGGAGAACAAACCAAGCTTCGACAGGCCAAATCTGCTAAATCAAAAAACGGAGCCGCTTGTCTAAAGCCTTTAACCTGTCATGTAATATATCTGTAACAGTGCTGAGCCTGACCTTGTGTATAAAGTCCAAAATTATGTTACCATTAAAGACATCTGTTCGTGAGGCTCCTGACTCCCCAGCGTTGTGCTACAGTGGCCCTATCTCACTCTACTCCCAGTGTTTCTTTCATCTTGGCAGCCTGGATGGTGGCAGAATTGGGAACTGCTGATAACATGTATCCTAAAGCCTTTCTGCAGGGCTCTGGGAGTTCCATGGAGACCAAAGTTTGTGCGGTTATTCTGTGACTAGAGAACAATAGGGCATTTGTTGAAGGTGGTAGTTTCCAAGACAGGCGTGATCTAGCAAGTCTGCCTGTGGTTTTGGTTTCAAGGCTTCAGACTGAAAGCCAGGCTGGGCAATGTAGACCTGTGCCTTTGTGTCGGTAAAGACCTCAAACCAGCGTGTGTGCAGGGAACCTACCTTTACCAGCGCTGGCCCAGGCTTTGCTGAGGACACAGTGTTCGTGGGGACGACAGGAGCTGTGGACCTGGTGGGGGGCTGATCCGTAGGAGGAGTTTTCAAGAATTCAGGAACTGCTGGCGACACTGAAGTAAACTGGTGGAAAAAGCAGAAAGGGAACAAGTAGGTGAACTCAATGACATAAAATTAGAAAAACCAGAATTAGAAGGGAATGACCTCATTTTTTTTTTTTAAAGTCCACTAGAAAAGAAACAAAAGAAAAATATACTATGATGTCTGAGACCCAGATGGTGGAATAACATGCTTTACCTCCATGGAGCCAATTAATTAGTCTTTGCCCCAACAGCAATGAAAAGCTAAAGCTAAATAAGGCTTGATTGACTCCACCCTAGTAGTGTTTTCTCAGAAATATGGTCAGAACCGCCCTGTTTTGGCAGAAGAAAAGTCCCAAGGCTCTTGTAAAAATGATCAAAACAATATATGACACTCGTAAGGTTCTCTTGCTGTATAGATCACAGTAATAATCCTGGTGAATTCAAATGTGATCTTTAGTCTTTGTTACAGGGTCTGATCAATCCTCTCCAGCACACCCTGGATCCAGGGCCTGGCAGCATGTGGGTAGGAAAGTTCCCATTCCTTGGAGGCCCACTCCACGTATGGGTCCTTAACTGTGCTTTACAGCTTACTTCCCAGTGTCCAAGCCTGACTGGTACTCTCCTTAGCCATTCCGCGCCCCCCCCCCGCCCCATTTCCTGCAAGAGGAGGGCACCGGCTGAATGTATTCTGGTAATATCGACTTGTTTCACTGATGGCGCACCCTCACACCTAAAGGAAGAAGCTAGTTTGTTACCAAGGCCAAAAAAGCAACCCCGAAACCTCAATTTGGAGTCACGTATTAACAAAGGAAGCGACCTACGGGAGGCCTTGATAGCTTTTATCAACAACCTAACAACCCACTTCCACTAACAATCTACTTTAAGTAGATTTTAAGTATTCACTTACCGGAAAGAGATCTTCCTATTGTAACGGATCAGTTCAATGTTGCGCAGTGATTACCACGTGGACTTAACTATTACCGGACTTGTTTTAAGGAAACTTGATCCCTTCTTCCTCTATCCCTTCCACTCCCCCACGTAACTCTCAAATTCATTACAAGAATCGAAGTCAGTTCTTTTGCTGATGTATTTGGGTTTAAGAATAGCACACTATTTTTCCTCCTTAAAATAAATGACCTGAGAACTCAGAGGCTATTTAGCAGCAAGAAATATGAAACTTGGCAGATACTAGTTACTCAATAAATATTTGTGTAATGGGTGAATGGAAATTCCTTGTGGCTTTACTCATGTGGGGTGAGACTCTCAAGGCCAGCTGGGACTGTGAGTATGTGTGTGGGTGTGCAGTGAACTGTGCTCACCCATGTGGGCTCTCTCCCCGAGCTCGCTTTTCCTTTTTGCCACTGATTTCAGCTTTTAAGTAATTATAAACTAACAGTCAGTGTTGACAATAAAAAGACTTGACTTTTTAAAGATGGCTACACAGTAGCCCCCTCAGCCACAGTTTATCATACTTTCAGGGACCCGTGAGCATCTGTGGTCCTGAAGCAGATGACCATCCTCTGACATACGGTCACAAGGTCAACAGCAGCCTAAGGCTATGTCACATGCCTATGTCATTCACCTCACTTCATCTCATCACATAGGCACTGTATCCTCTCTGTCATCACAAGACAAAGTAGGGCGAGTATAGTACGGTAAGATATTTTGAGAGTGAAAGACCACATTCACGTAACTTTTATTACACTATATTGTTAGAACTGCCCTATTTTGTTATTATAGTTGTTAATCTCTTACTGTGCCTAATTTATAAAGAGAACTTTACAGTGGTGGGTACATACAGGAAAAAACAGTATACGCAGTGCTGGGTACTATTCGTGGTTTCAGGCATCCCCTGGGGGTCTGGAAATGCATCCCCTGTGGATAAGGGGAGACTACTGTACTCAATTTCATTCAAACAGACATGAAAGAAAGGGCTTTATCCAAGAGTCTTGACACCTGTGTTCCAGGCTGACTTCTGCCCCCAAAAGGCGCAGAGCCAGCCACCTCCTCAGTGAACCTCTGACATGAAGTGGAAGGTCAAGGCCAGCTAATCAATGCTTTAAAGGATGTGGTTTTATTTGTTTCCCTTTCACTTTGCACATTTTCTGGAAGTGAGGATATTTATCTCCGGGTCAATTTTCACACAGGGAAAAACATTCCTTGGCTGTTAAATAACTGGCATATGAAGAACCACCACATATTTGAATATATATATCTACAAGAAATAAATATATAGATATTTCCTTGCAGATAAATTCTACTAACCTGGCAAGCTATTTTACCAGTCCAGCCCCCACTGACTGATATGATAGCAATGACACATTTGCGAGCAGTGTTAATAATCTGAAAAATAATCCAGAAGTATGAATGTGGTATCAATTATAATATGTATGAAAGTGATTCTCCTGTATTTCTAGACCTTGCCTAATTGACCTCAGCCTTGATTACTGATACTCTCATCTTATTAGCTCTTTTGGTATTTCAGTGTGATTTTGCTACCCAGAAAACCACAGACCCCAGTGAAACACAAGAATAACCCCACTGAGATACAGTGATTATTAATATTACCTACTCTGAAGATAAATTCTGGTTAAAAAGGGAGAAATGTCTAAACTCTTCTTTACATTTTGCCAGTCTTTTTTATGTGCTTTAGAAACGACCCCTCAAACCATCTTACATCCTACCTAGATGTGAGGATCCTGGTGGCTAGAGTTACAAAAAATAAAAAAGTCTAAGTATCTGTACTTCTGAAAGGACAGTATTCCAAAAAGGATGAAAAGAATAAAATAAAGGATACTACACTTATTTTATTCCACAGTAAAGTGAGCAATATGTTAAAATCTTAAAACAATGCTTTAAATGTTTAAATTTCCACTGAGACCTAAGTTCACCTCTTGTACTTTCAAAATTTCATCTCAAAATGATTCAGAATCTTTTCTCCAAGAAAACAAAAAAGCTGCAAACTTTGTTTTGTTTTACTGGATCTTGACCGCTGTTCCCAAGCTACAGGTCTCATGACCTCCAATTCTTCAACTGTCATCACGACACCATGACAAAATGTCAGAAAGACATTGATGTCTAATGATGAATATTTAGGCTTTAAATAAAACTGAAGAAGAAAGCACTCTGAACCTTAAAGACTGACTGTTCTCTTCTTAGAAACTGTTAAGGGAAAGTTCTGCTACAAAGACAAAAATAAGTCAGAGTAAACGTTTAAGCTGATTAAAATTTTATAATGTATCAGGTGTCTGCACCCATTCCTTCTGTAAAGATAATACACTTGTCAGGGACCAATCACTGTTCTCTGGTAAGTTCCTTTTTTATTAGATTTCTTTATGCAATCTAGAGGGCAGAAATTAGATATTTAAAAACAAAGCTTTTTTGGTACTGTAGATTTTAAATCTAAAATAAATGTGTTTTTAATTTAGGATGCAGCAGAGATCTTAATTAAGATGGGAATATGCAAATAAGAAATTCAAAATGTAATTATTCTTTAAATATTGTTTCCATATTCCAATTCCCAGAAAATAAAATGGATACTAGTATGAATGAGCTGAATACAAATCAAAAACACATGCTTTGTATATTTAATAAATGGATCTTTTATGTAAATTCTAGTTTTGTTAAAATCTGTCTAGCATTGACCACTCTGTTTATGTAACACACAGTTAAAAGTTTAGGCATTTCATTTTTAGTACAAGTAGTTGAACATTAAATTAATCTTTTGGCACAACATCTGGTGGACATTTAGCTGGTACTTGACGACCTGATTAGTAGTGAGGATTTGCATGTGTCCATCATTTAAAAAATCTATTATTTAAAAAAATTGTGGTAAAATATATTTAACATAAAAGTTACCATTTAAACCATTTCAAAGCGTATAATTCTATGGCATTACGCACATTCCCATTGTTCTCTGTCACTAACGTCCATCTCGAAAACTTTTTCATCTTCCCAAACTGAAACTCTCTATTCGTTAAACAACAGTTCCCCATCCTGGCCTCCCACCAGCTCCTGGCAACCACTATGTATGAGCTGACTGTATGAGTGTGACTAGTCTGGGTAGCTCATAATAGTGGAATCACACATTTTTCCTTTTGTGTCTGGCTTATTTCACTTAGCGTAATGTCCTCAAGGTGCATCCATATTGTAGTGTGGGTCAGAATCTCCTTTTTTAAGGCTGAATAATATTCTATCATATGGATGTACCACATTTTGTTTAGCCATTCATTTGTCAGTGGACACAGGGTTGCTTCTACCTTCGGCTTTGTGCATAATGTTGCTCTCAACACGGCCGTAGAAATACCTGCTCCAGTCCCTGCTTTTAAAGCTTGTAGGCATATACCCAGAAGGGGAATTTCTGATCACATGGTAATTCTAGTTTCAGCTCTTTGAGAGAAGCACCATACCATTCACTATAGTGACTGCACCATTTCACAATCCTACCAAGAAGGTAGAAGGATTCCAATTTCTTCACATCCTTACCAACGCTTGTTAATTTTGTTCTTGGATAGTAGCCATTCTAAAGGTGTGAGGTGCTATCTCACTGTGGTTTTGATTTGCATTTCTCTAGTGATTCGTGCTGTTAAGCATCTTTTCAAGTGGTTACTGGCCATTCTTAACTTTTAAGGGGGGAAGGGCAGAGGGAGAGAGAGAGAATCTTAAGCAGGCTCCACACTCAGCGTGAAGCCCAATGCAGGCCTCCATCACACGACCCTGAGATCATGACCTGAGCCAAAATCAAGAGTCAGACGCCTAACTGACTGAGCCACCCAGGCACCCCTTGTTTACCTTTTTTTATTTTTTTAAAGATTTTATTTGAGAGAGACAGAGAGGGTGAGAGAGAGGGAGAATGAGCATGAGTGAGGGGGAGGGGCAGAGGGAGAGAGAAAAGCAGACTCGCTGCTGAGCAGGGAGCCTGACGTGGGGCTCGACTCCAGGAACCTGGGATCATGACCTGAGCCAAAGGCAGATGATTAACCGGCTGAGCCACCCAGGTGCCCCTATCTCCTTTTGAGAAATGTCTTCTAGTCCTTTACC